CCCCAAAACCCCAAAACCCCAAAACCCCATTAACGATTTTGACAATTGAATTGTAGATCTTGGAGGATTAAACTCATTTGGTTAATTTTTACAGCTCTATATCCCAAGAAATGCCAGAACACTCCTCTCAAACATATCTGCACAGAGTCTAAAGTTTGCTCCAACAACTTCTTGGTAAGCCTACCCCATCATAGTCCACCCCTGCTCTTCCTCCAGACCCCTCAGAACCCTTGCTTGCCAAGGCTCTGGCTGCACAGGAACAGAAGGGGACTGACTGGGAAATAGGACCAGAGGGAGTGGGCAATTGAGAGAGGTTGGGCTTAAGTGCAGTTCAAAGAGGCTGAAAGTCAGAAGGAATTGGGGGGTCGGATTTAAGGATCAAAATGTAGGTCTTTAGTATGCTTAAAAGATGTTATAAGGCTCTTTAGCTGGGGAAGGCTCATTTGGAATTCTGTTAGATACATATCTTTCTGAACTCTCCAGCTGATCCTGGATAGTCGGTGTAAATGTCTTGATATGGTGACTCAGAAGATATTGCTTGAAGATATTTTAAGATTATTGATTGCCCAAGGAAAACAGGTATACAATAATTTATCAATATTTTTATATTGTCTTTTCATTCCAACCTAATTTATTTAAGCTGAATGAATCTATCAAGAAAATTTTCGTTATAAAATTTTACATGTCTTGATGATAAAGACTAAGCCTTAGGCTCAAGGCTTCATTTACTAAGTCTGTTTCAAATCAATCATAATGTAAGCTGCTTGTAAACATTCTTCCAACTTCATTCCTTTCTTCTAAATTTTCTTTTCTCTAAATTATAAGCTTAATTAGGAAAGTTCATTATTGGAAGTAAGGACCTGATAAGATCTTACTTTATATAACAATAATCCTCTGCTTGAGGTTGCACAGTAGAACTTCCGATTTCTGATTATTAATTTATTTACTTTACTCCTTAAATATTCTTGTTGAGCCATTGTAGTTTCAATAAGGTTAACCTTTAAGGCTTCAGGATTTCCTTTATTATCAATGGAGAGGATTTTCAAGAGGCTAGTTGGGAAGAGACCAAAGAGGGTCTAATACTTATTGATGAAAACCTAATTAAACTTTTTATAAAGAGGTTATCTAAATTGGTTGCTTTAACATATTTCAAGGTTATGAATCTTACTCTCGGAAAGCCTATTTTTCATAAAATGAAGATGAACCAGAGCCTCATTTAAGTAAATGATCAAGTGTACAGTAACTTCTAAAAGAGAAGAGAGTCTTACACCCATATAGTTCTTGAGAGCTAAAGCTGGCTTAGTTGACCTCTATATGTATATTAAGTGTTTTCTTCACGAAAAAAACAGAATTTATCAAACAACCAAAGATCATTTGGTATGAAGCAGGTTGACAAAAGCTTTGTGAAAACTCTTTAAGCATTCCATGCATTTCAACACTCAGGTTTTCCTTACTTAGCTCATCCTCAAAAGAGCATCACAAGGAAGGTTTGTCTGGGGGAATAGATTCTTCATGCTTTATGAGAGTCTGATAACCTTATTATGTTCATATACTCTCAAAGTCTTTAAATTAAACCGTTGAGAGAATACTGATGCTTCAATCTTGGATAGTCCTTGCGGGGTTTTGGGGTTTTGGGGTTTTGGGGTTTTGGGGTTTTGGGGTTTTGGG